AGCGGGCGGGCCGCAGCGGGGGAGGGGGGGCCGGGGCTGGCGAAGAGGAGGAAGATGGAGACTGGGGCAACCGAGCCTGACGTGGTTCCTTGGGGAAAGACCCGGTGAGAGCCAGGGAGCTCTGACCGGGGCTGAGTCCTCTCTCCACAGAGGGGTGTTGAGTGGCAGGGGGGTGGCCAGGTCACATCTAACCCCCCGTCTGGTTTTGGTGAGGGCGAGCTGGGCTAGGGAAATCAACAGGAAGATGGGGCTGCGAGCAGCGCTGTGATTCCCACAGGGCTGGTAGCTGCTCGTGGCTGGGAGGGGAGGGATGTGATGCCCGGCCCGGCGGCGGGATGCTGGCTCGTGGATGGCAGGGGGCAGGGGAAGGCAATGGGGAGGCCCAGCCTGGCTCTCTTGGGGAAGCCTGGAGCTGGGCCACTCTCCTAATGCAAAACAACCCCTCAAAATGCATTGAAACCCCCCCTGCAGGGGCCTTTCACTTCGAGGCAGATGCCAAATCCCCTTCCCTGGGGGAGAGGCACATGCCAACCCCCCTCCCCGGGGGGAGAGGCTTCCAAAGCCTCAGGCGGCGAGCGGGGTTTGCAGGCTGAGCAGCATTTTCCAGCCGGCCACTCGCAGAGAGACAGCGGGAGATCCCTGCCGAGCCCTTCTGCTGAGACTAGTGAGGGCTGTTGTTTTTTTAGCCATCTACTTCTAGATGTGACTGTGCCATTTAGGATCTGCATGATCCAAGGAGAGCAAGGAGGAGCAAGGGAGACAGCTGGACCCGGGGCATCGCTTGTTTATGTCCTGCAGCTACTGTTCGAGATAGACGAGGGCACGGGGAGAGCGTCCAGCAGGGAGACTGCGTGGGCTGGGCACTTGTACTGGGAAACCCAGAAGGGCTGGAGGGGGCGAAGAGCCGGGAGCGAGGGGAGGAGGCTGAGGGTGGCACCGCTGCTGGGGCAGAGCCCCGAGGTCAAAGCTTGTGTGGTCGCTGCCCAGAGGGCTCTCCCGTGAGCGAGTTAGCACCTTGTCAAGTTTTCGGAGTCGTTTCTCCCGTTCTCCAGCGTAAGAGTCGGGGTGGTGAACGATACCGAATCAAGTCTTAACGCCGTTGCATAAATCAGTGGTGGAGCCTCGAGCGAGCTAGGGCGTGCCAGGCTGGTCAGCTTATCTCAGAAGCTGCCAGGGGTAGAGGATGGGAATTTTCCTAGGCCGGTCGCAGATATACCCTCTAACAAGAAAATAGCATCGGAAAGCTCAGGAGTGTCTCGCCTGGAGAGAAGGAAGATTAATGAGGGCTCATGACAGAAGGATAAAAAGGGTGTGGAGAAAGCACATCAGGCACATCCATTCACCCTCTCTGAGAGTGCAGTAGAGGAGATGTTCAATCAAACAGGCTGGTGGAGGAAGTAAAATTAACTTTTTTTCATTTTTCCTTTCACCCAAAGCACAAGTTGCCCCATGGAATTCATTGCTTCAGGGCACAAGCAGAGCTAATGGGCTGTCCCGTGCCAATTTTGGGTCACCTGAGGCTGGGCTGAGCTCCCTTCTACAGCTTCCAGCTCCTCCTTATGTGGGGTGGTTGAAGGATGGGGAAAGAGCCCCAAGAGATCCTTGCCAGCTGGCATCATGCGGGTGGGAGAGGGGCTGCGGGGAAGGGGGGTTGCAAGTCAAAAAAGCAAAGGGGCTGCATAACCTGGGAGGTGCATACTGTGGTTTTAGGGCAGGAGTAAGGCTGCTCTGGTGCTGTGCAAAGGCCTGGGTGCTGCTGAGAAGTAGAGGGGCTGCCATCCCAAGAGACTCGTGAGCTGGTGCATGAGCTCTGTGTTTCCTGCGCTTCAGGAGCTGGGCTTTTACTGACCGAGAGGATAGCAGATCCCACCTGAATTCTGCCACAGCTCTGCTTTTTCCTACATGGGCTCTGTGGGGTGGGTAGGTGCTGTTTATCATGGCCAGGGATTATGGTTGTGTAGATTATGGTAGGGATGCTACCGTGACCCTCTAAACCAGCAGAACTGGAGCAAGGTCCTTGTGGAATGTCTGAAGTACGGGGATGCTAAGAGAGGTGGAAACCAAAACCAGGCCACATTTAGGGCTCTACCATCTGCCACGTTGTTATGGGGTGGTTAGTGGATTTTAGCATGCGAGCAAGGCCTGATGGTTGCCTTTCTTCCTCCATCCCCTTGCCCACCCCTTCCTCTGGTTGCTCTTGGGCCCATCCCATTCACCAATGAACACACTCAAACCAGGCTCAGGCACTGGTGGGACAACCAGCCCATACGATTAACCAGTCCTTCCTATACATCCCTCTCACCCCTGCTTTCACCAGACGCCTCCTCAAGCCCACCCCATTCTCTCTCCCTCCAAACCAGCTGCATCTAAAGGACCATTCAGGCAAATAAATCAGCTGAGTCTGATGGGTCCTGTGCCCTCACCCTGAGATGCACTGAATTTCAAGACAAGCTGAGGAAGGGGGTGCATTGCAGAGCATGTCAAAGCCCATACTTCAACCATGGGCTTCCTGGTGCCAGGGAGGGCAGAGGGAGTGCTGTGCCGCAGCTCATGGCCCCGCCGGTGTCACAGACCCAGAGCAAGGCTCCCAGGGCTTTGACTCAGTTGCATGCATGCCTGACACCGAGCCTGTGGGGTGGATAACTTAGCTGGGGCTGGTGATCTGCTCAGCCTGGGGGATGAGTTTGTGGGCCCAGTATCATAGAATCATAGAATCACTTTGTTTGGAAAAGACCTTCAAGATCATCGAGTCCAACCGTTAACCTAACCCTGCCATCCCACCACTAAACCCTGTCCCTAAGCACCTCATCTACCCGTCCTTTAAATCCCTCCAGGGATGGGGACTTGACCACTTCCCTGGGCAGCCCCTTCCAATGTTTAACAGCCCTTTTGATGAAGAAATTTTTCCTAATGTCCAACCTAAACCTGCCCCCAGCTTTGTGGCGCTCCTCTGGACATGCTCCAGCAACGCAAAGTCTGTCTTGGAGTGAGGGGCCCAAAACTGACCCCAGCATTTGAGGTGGGGCCTCACCAGCACCGAGTACAGGGGCACGATCACTGCCCTGCTCCTGCTGGCCACACCATTCCTGATACAAGCCAGGATGCCGTTGGCCTTCTTGGCCACCTGGGCACTCTGCTGGCTCATACTCAGACGGCTGTCAACCAGGAAGGTCAAGTGCTTACCCAGTGGTGTCAATGCAGCACCACCTCGCTGACGACACAGCCCCCAGCCCTGCCCAGCCCCTGCATCCAAGCACTACTCGCTGTCCTGCCTGTTTAATTAAAAGGTGTTCTCCCCCATCCAGGTGTTTGAAAGGGCTTTGGGTTGACTTTCTGCCAAGGATTGGCCTGGCTTGGGTGCTGGCCACGTAGGTGCTGAGCTCTGGTGGGGCTGTGGCAGC